TGCTGTTGTTAATATTCGTTATTTCCACGTGAACATAATAAGGGACAGAGAGTCAAAACATTAACGATGTCTTGAAAAGACTTTGTTTCATTGTAGGGCAGTAATGGCGAATGCAATAACTCAGTGCATTCACATGCACCACGGTGTGAAAACGAACAAGATAATAATACTTCCATTTCATTTTTCTTTCTTACCAATGTGAAAATGTGGGAAGAGCTTTTAAAGTTATTTGTTTATTGAAGGTAAATCACTTTTGCTTATGAGCATAGTGTAGTAATTATAAAGAGTATCCTTGCATAAAGGAGAGGTCGAATGAAGGGGAAAATAACATAACAAAGGCAGAAAAGAGTTTTATAGTGTTTTATCTTGCTCTTGTCAATTTTTCCGGTTTTTTGCCAATAACAAACTTGAATGGCAATATTTTAAAATATGTTGACAACAGTGACCAAACGCTAATATTGTATAGTTTTAAATACCCGGGGATTATCACGAAATCAATTTCTTGCAAAATTCATTAACATCCCTGGCGAAGACTTTTTCGTTTTAGATTGCTGGCGACTACTGATCCGTTGTTGGTTCCCCACTCCGTCTTGCTATTCCACCTCTCAGTGCTTATTATCTCGAATTATAGGATTCCCTAGTTTTACAAACACTGAATTCATCAAAAGCCCTGCATTCTGTTCAGTGTCTTTGATGACAATAAGGGCCATAAGCTAGCGTGGACAGATTTCTCGCCCTATTGCTGGGGCTTAGAAATGAAAAAAATTATAACTTTGAAGCGCTCATATGTAATAAATTAGCTGCCGTTTGGGTTTCCTCTAATGTCGCTGCTTTTTGCTACATTTTAGATTACGGTATAATCTTTGGGTATGGATATGTAGTTGTTCTGAATTTTCTAATACTCTCGATCGTCTTGGACACAAAGATTTCCACACTCTTCAACTCAGCTCAAGCACAATAACAGTCGAGCCAACCAATTTTACTGAACGTGGCAGGATACAGAGAGGCAGTGTACAGTGGCACTGTGGGTGCAGTTAACAGTAAATGTGTAACTTGGACTTTTTTTTTTGAAAAGCATTCTTTAAGCCAATCTAGCATAATTTTTATACGAAAGCATAATTTAGAACATGATTTTGAGCATCATTTGGATATATGCTATTTTTATTAGCACAATCTATAGCAACTTAGTGTCACACACCAATAATTTCATTGAGAAATCTAACTGGTCGAGAGCAATCAATCAATAAACAAAAGTTGCCATGATGAGTGCAATAAATGCAGCGGATATTGCATTTATTCTGTCGAGTTTAAAGTCTGCCTAATTTCGAAGCCCCTCGCCCGTGCAGTGGTTTTAAAATTTTGCAAGCTGAGAAAGATATGTCTCATGTCATGATATCATGGACTATTGTTTAGTAAAACAATGGATAGCGTTGAAGAAACGCTCTCATTGGCTGCTAAAACTCGTAATATCCTCACACTATTCACTCCCGGACCACGTGCACGGGATTTGCGCCGGAAAATATTGTAATTCTTGCAGGAAAAAACGAGTTAATATCATCTTTTTGTGCTATGTTATCTTCCTGTCTTAGTTTATACTAAAAAACTTCATTGCGTTTCGATAAATATTCATCACTAACCACTTTTACATGAATTTTCAAAACAAACTTTATTTGCATAGCGAACAATAGTGTCGTCAGCACGCTCTCTGTGCTTCGCTCTCTCTTAAATTTGTTGTCAAATTGCTACCATGTGGCAGTCGTTCCAACAATGAATATTTCGTCTTACCACAACCCTCTTCGCTAAGATCACTTTTTTTTATTTAGATTTCTCATGTTTGTTTCCTAATTATCGAAGACTATTAGCCAAGCATTACCCCGCAACAACAGGTCGAGAAGTCTGACCACGCTCCGGCCGTCTTTGTCCATGAAGACTGAACATAATGTATAAGATATTTTGAGGGCTTCGTCGTAGATTCCAGTGTTCCTGAACCCCGTCAACTGGCCCTAACAAGACAAACAACAGATTCAAGCGTTTGGACGTGCGGATGACGAGGAGATCCTCGCGAAGGGCAACACGAAAACTACTAAGAAATACTGTTACAGGAAGGAAAATATTGGCCACTGTCAAATTAACTCGTTGTTGATGTATTATATTATATGACGTTTTATTTTTCGCTTTTTACCCCAAAGGGTCCCGAAAGAATTTTGATGGTTCTCATTAAATGCTTTAAGCCATGCTAATTGAATAATTGGAACACTTACAGGATACCGCCTCAACGACTAATGACCTATAACCATAATTTTTGTAACTTAAATGTTATTCCTTAATTGATACTAAGTAATCTTCACCCCCCCCCCCCGCTTCACCCGAAAATTATCCTTGATTATTTAGAAGCCAGGCGTTTAGAACTGAACAATGATATGCAGCACAACTGTTTTTAAGGTACTATGATAAGGGGTAAAAGTACTATGATAAGGGGTAAAAGTACTATGATAAGGGGTAAAAGTACTATGATAAGGGGTAATAGTATTATGACAAGGGGTAAAAGTACTATGATAAGGGGTAAAAGTACTATGATAAGGGGTAAAAGTACTATGATAAGGGGTAAAAGCACTGTGATAAGGGGTAAAAGTACTGTGATAAGGGGTAAAAGTACTATGATAAGGGGTAAAAGTACTATGATAAGGGGTAAAAGCAATATGATAAGGGGTAAAAGTAAAGAAATTTGCGGGATTGTTGTCATTTTACACTACAGCTGCAAGAGCTACCTTTACCAAGGAAAACTGCCCCTGATTGGGCAAATTTTATAAGGTAAATCTGATTTCTGTCATCTGGAGAATTCAAGTACTGTTATCAGCTTTGGGAGATTGATCTTGGAATATGATGTAGATAAATTTGAATATAATCTCTAAACTCAGGACGAAGGATTTGGATCAACGTCTTTGCTTTGTAACGAACAAACCCTTCCTACATTTTCATTCTCCACCGACTAGAATTACATAACTGTGAAAACTATGCGACAGATATGATTTCCCCTCTCTGCCATTCATCCAAAATTCAAGTATACTTTCCCCTTAGGCAAGGAAGTTCTTCGTAATAATTTCTAACGGACCATTTCAAGCAGGAGAAGAAACACGTGATGGCAGTTTTGTCAGTATTTCTCTTTTTCGTTTATCCTCATGTTTTACATTGACAACGTTGGCATGAGTTCAAGTTAAGTTGTCAGAGAAGCATTAGTGTAAACAGCAAGTAACAATCCAAAAAATTGTTGCTTTTAGCGTCATTTCCTTTAATATTTTCCCAACGACAAATTATCTAGCTATGACTTATATATATATATATTTTCCGACTATTGACATATTTGTTTTAACTATCAGCGGCAGAATCCTGCTTAAACCAAATTGCAAGACATAGGGTGACCTCACGTTTTCAACATCAACTTGCGTTAAGTTTCCTTTAAACAACGTAAGAACGTAATTCATAATAAATAATCCATCACCTGATCACGCTTTCAATAAATGATGAAATGGGGTAAGTTTCTAAATATTCGTTATTGCTGCGTCCGAGGGGTCTTTTTTTTACAAGATAATTTGGTTTTAATCAATTGAGTTGATAATTGGCAACCGTAAAAAGTTTCTTAAGCTGACTTTTCGAGAATCAACCCGAAAGGCTAACGCTCCAAACCGGTCAGTTTTAGAAACTCTTTTCAGCGGCCACTTTAGTAAACTAACGTTTGGCCAAAGTATTACACTGCATATTCTTATCAGGAATATTTTCAGTAGAACCTCGAACTCCACTTGAAAGAATTAAGCAAGAGGTCTTTAGTAAATCTGTCGGCTGACAAATGGTTTTCTCTATAATTTCTAATTACTATTTTAACGCAAATAACAGAACTCTTTAGCTACAAGTTGCGTCTTCTGTGTTATGATGGTCATTTTATTACCAGTTGCGTGCAAGGTCAAAAACGACTTGCACATTAGGGTCTGGACATGATGAATCTTTGGCAACCAGTCAAAAAAAAAAGAGGATTTTGTATCGTTCTGAGTTCTTTGTAAAATTTTGTGACATTTTCACATCTTTGCACAACCTTATTAAGACCTCCTTCGGCTACAATGAAAAAACGTCACTCCCAGCCGGTGAAATAATTTTGTATTAAGATTAAATATTTCTTCTGTGTGAGAGCTCCATGTGTCTGGTGCGGAACATACGTACGTCAGGCTGGTTAAATTGAAGTAAGGGAAAAGTCTTACACTTTTTTAAGCTAAGAGGCAAATTAACATAAATGATTTATCATTCTGCCCTCCTGTTCAGTTGTCTTTTTGCGTTGCTTTAAGGAAAAAATGTAGTAAAGTGATTATCGGAGTTATCAGATTTTTTAAAAAAAAATAGTCCTTTATTCTATTTGAACACAGAAAACTTTCATATGATAAATATAGGTTTAAATGTCAGCTTAAATAAATTGATGTATATTTGAGAAGTAAATAATTCCGTTTGTGATCATTTTCATGTCAATCTAGATCTGATTATGTAGATATACTTTTACGAATGTCTACAGATGTCAGCGAAATTTGGTGTTTTAAGTGTTATCCTGCGGAGAAAGCAAAATTTCGTCATTAATTTTATTTCAAATTAGCAGAATTAGGAAGACACACAGACTAACTCCTCTGAAATCATTAGGAATAAAGTTTTGTTTATATTAAAAATTGAAAAATTATGATCCTATGATTCAAAGAAATTTTATTTCACCGGAAAGCCCCACACATCTTTTTTCCCATTTCAAACGAATATTTTCACTGAATAGCAAAATACGTGATGTTTTCGATTAGATTAATTTCGATAGAAAGTGTTTTATTTGAATTATTCGTTTCCTTCCGAGAATATTAGACAATGGCAAATTTACACAGCGATGAAAACTTATCAATTTATTAATGGTATAACATTCTAAAAGATTACCGCTTGACGTCACACATGATTGTATTTACATCCTTTCTGATGGCCTCCGTGATCTTTACGATGTTATCTTTCCGTAATAGGAGTTGACTATCGCATTTGCGGCTATTACGGCTCAGGGAGTGGACATAAGGGGTCTAAAACAGAGACTAAACTTTTGGTGAGATATTTCAAGAAACAGCCCAACAACGACCAAAGGTACTCGACGAGAAATCTCAATCAAATTTCTTATTATGTATACTCGATGTTACACGTTCCTGTTATTCAGGAAGATAACACCACAATATGTCGTTGCAACCAGTGTCTTTTGTAAGAAATGGAGATACAGTGTATGCTAGTATTTTTTCCTGGCTAATTTTGTCCTAAAAAGGTGGGAAATTTTCGACAGCTTTGGGCATTTTCAAGTTTATTTTTGCTGAATTGCCTTGCAGCTTTTTCATTATACACATTAGCATAATGTTGCTCTATTTCTCAGCGAGATTACTCCATTCGATATCAAAATGTAATTTAGTGGCAAGAGAATTCCATTGCTGCTTCATGGCAACATTTCTATATTTTATATTAGTTTGGAGGGTGTTTTTAACAGTAAATATGAGAATGCTCTCAGCAAACAAAGACGACCATAATTAATTTTTATTCCATTATTTTTTGGTTCATGAAGAGTAGGTGTCTATATGCACGAAACCCTAGGAATGATAAATTTGTGTCGTTTTTTTGTCTTTTTTTAACGTTGTAAAAAAGGTAAAGGAAAGGTTTCTGATTTAAAAATTTGTCGCTCTTCTCGAAGCGTGCTTCCATCCTAAAATAAAAATTGGCCATGAACACAGACTAGGGATGATATATTTGCGCCGCTTTTCTTTTCTTTCTTTTTTGGAACGTTGTAAAACAGGTAAAGAAAATGTTTTTGATTTAAAACTTTTACTTAAACGTTCAATGATGTTTTGTCACTCTTCTCGAACCGTGCTTGTATCCCCAAATAAAAACTGGCCATGAACACAGACATTTTTCCCACGCCACGTCTTTGTGTCAAGTGAAACAAATAAATAGACCCCGATTTTAAATTCATCCCTTTTGAATTGTAGGAAAATGCTGTAAGTAGAAGGTGCGTGTAAATTGTGAATGATAATAGTATGAATTGCCTTTGATGAACATAAAGCTGTGTCAAGAGGTTTTTGTAATATGCGCAAGCAGTAAAAATAACCCACGAATTGTTATTTCATTTTAACAGTTGCGTCTTTGCGAGCGCTTATGGAAACGTACTGTTTACTTTATTGTGTCCATTGTTTGATCGCCATAGGATATCTGGCTACTCAAATGTGAAAGTTTTGCTAAAACATTAAGTGCGAATCGTAATAACACCTAAGGAAAGATTTTCAAAGCCCAAGTATCCTTAAGCGGCACCACCTATAAAGAGCGTACTGAGATGAGCTCTGATACTCAGTATTAGGATTATCGTCAAGGTTTATGTTACACTTCTCAAATATTTAGCGAAAAAAAATATGAAAAATAACTCATCAGGGTCATTAAAAATGAGGGAGCGAATGTTTATCTGTTGAAAAATAAGTAATACCTTAGCAACAATAGTGCCTGCCAAGTATGTATTTTTTTTTCCTTTTTTTTCCGAAGTTGTTTAGTTTTGTATTTATTTTTGAATTCATTTATGTACAATAGTTTAAAGTCTCCGGTCTTGGATTCACTGTATGTTATCAATATTATCATTATTGTTATCGTTATTTTTTGTTATTACCAATATAACGACAAAATTTAAAACGTACTCATGCCAGGCTTACAAATACAAGTTACAAATTTAACCTCACGACCTCTGGGAGTACTAGTTATACGAGAGTAAATATGGAGTTATGGTTTAAGTTTCAAAATTGAAAAATTAGCATTTTAGAATTAAGGGAGAAGAAATTATTTTTACAAAGCGGTAAATGGTAAGCAGAAAGCTTTTGATCGCATCTGTCACCCCTTTATCGGCCTCAATCGCTTCCGATTTGAAATTTATACCATCTAGATTTCCTGATGTTTCGAGTTTTGCTTTACTTTATCCAGTCTTCTCCTTTCTTGCGATGGAATATTCTGCTCACGTATTATTAGGATATTATCTCTCCTTTTTTTTCGAAGTTGTTTAGTGATGTGTTTTAGCAGCCAAATAGAAGATTTGGTCGACTTGTTTTCAATGAAATTGAAAATTGTTAGGCATCAATGTCGCCCGTTGCTAATTTTGAATATATTCTTTAAATATACATTTCTTATTTCAAGAAAAAAATTAAAAGATGAATTTGAAGAGAGAGTGTAAATAATATATTGTTTTCCTTCATAAAATATGCGTGTTAGATTGATTTCGAGAACAGCACCCAAATTTGAATAACGATTTAGGATCGTGCGGCATTGCACTTGTTGCAGAAAATAATAACAACATGTTTACCTTACCTTGCTGAGTTTGTTAGCTAAAATACCCAAAGCCTAATCATCAATTTTCGAGATTGGAAAGTTTATTCGTCATATTCTCCCTTTTCAAGGTCTACCGCATAGATCAGTTTTTAATTTTATGGTAGAGAAGTTTCAACTTTTTTCCAAAATGTAAATCAAATTTCTATCGTGTTACTGAAAATGTCATTTTAGCTTTAAACACCAGAACGTTTTGCGTTCTTTACAATTTGTTAATGAAGTGAAATAAAGATTCGTTAGTTTATCATATTCAGAAACTGGTCGCAATATTATTCATAACACGATCGAAAGACATCCCTTGATCTTAGGCAATTTGGAAATTTAATCCGTTCGGACCCCCTCTGATGTCAAGTTTTTTTTAGATAATATCAACAAGGTTCATGCACCTGCCGGAATTACTAACAGGACTTTTTGATATGGTTGTCATTTTTATTATATATATTACAACTCGTAATGCTTGAGAGTTGTTATTCTAGATTTTAATTACCGGTAGGATCTGTAATTTCGCTAGTCTCTCGCATCTGACGGCCACAGTTCAAATGGACTCCATACTTTAAGGTGAGAATATTGCACATTGTTTTTTCTCCAATTCTTAAACCAAAGACAAGAGTTGTATTTGCTTATAAACTGGCTCAACAGTTTGATAGATATTCCATCAGTGCTTTGGGTTTCTAGTCAGACGGAAGTTTTTTTCTTAGTTTTTCGCTGATTTCGCCTGACTTGTTCAGTTGTAATGGAAATATAATCATATCCCTTGAAAGGCATATCGCAATCCAATAGAAAGCCACAATGGAAGCTAACGTGTGTCCAAAAAGGTTAACGCGTGCTGGTCTGGAAAAAGCCGTAATACCCGCAGTCGGCCGCACGGCTCTCTTGCGTTTTCTGTGGCGAGTAGAGATTTTAAAGTTAAACTTAAAGTAACACACAAATAAAGGAATATGCTGTGTGTTTCGATTAATTGTGAGTTTCTTGTTCTGTTATAGAAGAGTTTTTATTAAATTTCCAGCACACCCTCTACTTATGTATATAATCCTGTCTTGTGTTTAAAGATAATATATTTGCTGCTATATTGCAAATACCTATCGACCTAGGGGAGGGGGAGGGGGAGAGGGCGAAGGGTATTTGGCGCGAGGTCATGGTGTATGGTCTCACTTCTCCATGCGAATAAGATTTTAATGTGTGATCGCCACTGACTCTGCTGATTACTTCTACTCATTATGCCGAAAAACCTAAGTCCCGGACACCGAAGACCTTCCTTTTAGCCGAAGATCATTCTATGAACTGGCCTTACGCAGATGATCTCAGTACCCAAACAAGGAAACTAATACCCTGTTCACAATAGCAAAACATGTTAATTCAAACAGGTTCTCGCTGAAAGTAAATCAGAAAAAGACAACTGAAAAGCTGAACTTTCCATGCATAGGATACAAGTGATTACTAACTTGTATTTTCAATATCCTAAATTTGAAGGCGATAAAGATCGGTTTCACTATCACACAACACGACATTTAAATTTTCCCATAGCTAACATGATGTTGTTTAAGTCATCAAGCCTGGTCGTCCCTGACGACAAGAAGAGACGCCAGAACTTTGTTAAACAAGAAAATGAATTGATAATGTAAATTGGCCGCCGTAAAGAATTACTAGAGCTGACGTTTCGAACGTTAGCCTTTCGTCAGGGCGAATGGCGACAGGCTAATGCTCGAAACTTCAGCTTTAGAAACTTTTTTAAAATCAACTATTTTGGCAAAACCAAATTATTATGTTATATCCCCCTACCGACGAAGTACTACAGCTTCTTTAGAAACGTAATCCCTTCAGACAGGCAAAGAGAGGGTAAGCCGGACGGATAAACAGACAAATAGAGTAAAAGAGACAACCAACCACTAGCCGGAGAAAAAAAATACGGAAAGACAAATTTACATCGGCAGATGAACCACAGTTACAAATCTTTATTTACTTGCATTGGGTTGCCCTCTCTTCTCCTCAGAGGGGAAGATGGATGTCTGTGGAAGGTGTTGTCTGTGGATAATCAGTATTTACGAAAAGTTAGCTAGTGCTCGTTGCATCACATATTTGTGATATTTGAACCAAATATCTATGAATATTTACAATGAGGTTAATCATGGCTGAAACTTATAGAAAATTCACCTCTGCTTCTTTTACAGGCGTGTGGTCATGATACGCCCTGGAATTCAACCCCGTTCGTAACATTCCTATACTTGTGTGCTAACTGTTGTCGAATATTGCTTAACTGAATTGGAATCATTTGGGAATCATACAAACAGGTTTGTAAAGCATATTTTTAAACAAATAGATAGTATCTTCTCTGATCGGACCTTGAGAAAGTGTCCCATAACTTTAGTGTCAATTTGAGACCTCATGGAATCAAAAAGAGTATTGCGTTCCGATAATAGAACGATGATCTATTACAGGTACAATATCCCTCGCCACCTCTCTACGTATTTTATCAGTTTCTCTCTACGTGTTTGCTGATGCATGTTTATATTCATTTGTGGATGGGCAATTTTAGAGGGAAATTCCTTGTAAAGAACACAACACAGCAACCTCGCCATCGCTCCAACTAATCCTTTCCCATTTAGAGTATGGAGTGCCCTAAACCTTACGCCACGCATCTCCCTACTTGTTACTAACATCCTATCAAAACGTTAAGTATGTTGAGAAAAATTAGAATGTGCTTGCTTCTTTGCCTTTATTACACCTTATCTCGCCCCAATAAGAAGTATAAAAGGATAGACTAGTATTGGAAGTTTAAGTTTCCAAAGGGAAAAACCTGTAATTCCAAATGGGAGAGAGGGAGGGTGGGAGATTTTCTAGATTCGCACTGGTCATATCAAAGAAAAAATGTCAATGCTCCTGGTCACCTCAAACCATTTAGACAAAGTTATCGCCATCTAGATGTTTAAGGTATCGAAGATCTGATTTCTTTTCATGTTTCCTGAAAAGGCTATTGGCGTCAACTTGTTTCCCTCCTAACAGATGCATGGTGAAGCAAATCTTCGCACTTCTGTTTGTGGCCATCTTTTTGTCCCCTTCTTTCACAACATCTGTCACAGAGACGTGTGTCACGCCAGTCTGTCGTTGTTCATCTTATTCAAGTTATAACGTGACGGTCATTTGCTATACAGACGACGTAAAGTACGACTTAAACCGTTCCATAAAGAAGCCGGAGGAAATCGTCGCTCTGTACGTAAATAGCTATGACTCATTATTTTACATTCTTTCTTCTTCTTCTCTATCCTTCTTCTTTGTTATAGCTTGAAATCGCCTTTGAAAATGTTCCTAAGTACGTCAGTGAAGAATTTGGTGTCCCCACTGAATTGAAGAGGAAAGATGCGAGATATTTTTATGTCAGCGATCATTGCTAATGCTGAAAAAACTAAAAACTTTCACTCTCCTGCAGCATGAAAAATGCTGAAAGACTTTCACTCTCCTGCAGCATTATCGAGTTAAATTTGCTCAATTCTTCAGTTGGGCACTTTGCAACAAGAACGACTTAATTGTTCTGTGCTGGGTTACCTGAAGCCCAATTAAAACTAGTCTCTGTTTGGTGGAAACAAAAAGCAAACTTGATACTGGTACACGGACATTCGTCGTCCAAGAACAATGACGGTACTCACTGAAATATAGAACCAAAAATAATAATAGAAAAATGCCTAATGACGACATAGTTATTAGGCTCAAGTAGAAGTGAGGTTTATTCGAGTTTCCTAACAAACTATATCACTTTGACCAAAGGTTATTCTTTTTTAGTACTGTCGTAGATGATAACGCTACCAATATACCAGAAGGCACATTTGCCAAGTTCATCAATTTGAAATACCTGTAAGTATTTTAGTAAGTTGTGATCAAATATAACTTTTTGGTTTATTCGTTTTGTTCTCCCTTGCCTTCAAGCTAATTTTTATGTTCAAAGAATACTCGTTTTCACTTAAAGTTTGTTAAATCAACGTATCTGAGGAGCACAGCAACATGGTCTAACAATATAAGACATGGTTTGATGCTACCCTGGTTTAAGGATTTAATTTATGTAACCGAGAAGTTACAATTCATAGAACCAACCTTTCGACACTCCTGTCTAATGCCCTCATCAGGTGATCTAATCGCTGCAACAACGAAGAGGACCTTTTATATGCTCACTAATTGGTAGCGTCGATTAGTGGTGAAAATTGATAAATCACTACTAATCGACTTTACCAATAGCGCCGTTATTTGGAAGCCTGTCCGCGCTCCTTTAAATCGCGATGATGGCGGCTTACTACCTGATGCCTATTTGAACTCGTCCGAAAAAAGGGCAACTAATTAGTGAGAATATAAAAGGACCTCTTCTTGCAGCGATTAGATCACCCCTGAAGAAGGCACTAGACATAAGTGTCGAAACGTTGGGTCTATGAATTGTAAGTTCTCGATTACATTCATTAAATCTTTCACCAAAGTAGGATCAAACCATGTCTGATTGTCCGCCTGGTTGCCTTGTGAACTTTAATATGGTGAAAGATTGCCCATCGTGAAGCTCGATTGGGTTCAACAGTTTCGTTACCATTGATATTGACACCTGTCATATATATACATTACCAAGTTAAAAACTTAGCTCGAAGTTGTTTCGTGAAGTTGTTCACCTCTAAGTAAGCTTTTTTCGCTAAAAAAGATAGCCTTGGTATATACCTTTGGATATAATTTCGAATTTTGTTCGAAAAACGACAACAACAGCAACAACGACCATGGTGAACCTATTAGGTACATACATTATATCTATTTAACCGACATAATATGTTTTTACCGATTATTTATCGAAGTGGATATCTACTAAGCTGTCAAGCAGCAAGGTCAATATCCACAATTTTCACTTACATCAAGACTATTGAATAATTGTTGTAGTATATACCACAAACGTAGAAACCATAGAATCAATGTAGTTTTTTTCAATATACCGAAAAATGATCGCAAATTAAACCCTTGACGCGTGATTCGTCTCTTCGACTGCTCGAAGAAGAAGTTTGCTTGCTAATCACCTCCGAATTAACCCATGCGCAAAAAGCACATCTCAAAGATGTGGTATATGTATTAACGATCAATATTTACATGGGATGCCGTGTGAACTGTAATGCAACCTCGCGATTAATTACCAATTTGCTTTTCTCAAAGGGAACTCAAATTCAAAAACTTGAAAACCTGGAATGGGAATATTTCCCGCGAGCTACCTTCTCTCGAAGCAATTTTATTGGTGACTGAGAATACCTTTGTTCCTCCTTCACACGTTCTCAAAGCGTCAAGCCTTCAGCGCATCTCTGGTGTTACTTGGAGCAGTGCTTGCAACAACAAGACACTTATAAAGAACCAAACTCACTCAAACGTGACGCTTTTCAAGAAAGGGGTGTATGACATTTACCCAAAGTCACGCTGTCGGGGTTCGCGCTACCTTGTCGAATCAATATCTCGCTTATTTGCTAAGTATGGATTTGTAATTGCTTTCGATGAAAAATGCTTCACCTCTGAAGTGACAGTCATCCCAATGCATCGATGCTGGGACAGTGCCAATGAAGCTCTATATATTGAATACCTGTTAACTCCATTAATAATAATCTTCAACTTGACAGTGTTTTTTACAATGGCTACCACAAAAACACTCAGAAAACTACCTTGTATGTTATTTGTTGCAAATTTGGCCTTGAGTGATTTTTTCCTAGGAGTGTACACCCTTGCTATCACGTCATCACGTCACGCTATGACTTATCAAGCCTTCGTTGGCGTGATGAGCTCTTTGTGTCCAGCTATTGGTTTCGTGTGGGTTGTCGGGCAATTTGCAGCAGCTCTTTCTTCATTGCTGTTGACTACTGAACGATACATAGCAATTATCTTCTCCATGAGACCAAGTATCTCTGTCACAGCAATAGCATGCCTCTATTGCATGGCTGCCTCGTGGGCAATAGCTGTATTTATGGCATCCCTTCCATTCTTCGGTGTGGGAACATACACTACGACTACCTTCTGCCTTCCGATCCAGCCTGCGAAGGGAATCCCTCATTCGTTTGCGTACAGCGCCAGTGTCGTCGCAATTGGAATTTTGTTGTACATCATCACTATTCCCATGTATCTCCATATTTTTGTCCATGTGAGGAACTCAGGAAATCAAATGGGTATAAAGCGAGATGGAAAACTGGCCAAAAAGATTTCAATCCTGGTCACAAGCAATTTGATGTTTTTTCTTGTTCCTGTGTTTATAGGAGTATTATGGTTGATGACTCAAACTTTCAGCAAAGTTTCTTTAACGACCAGAGAAATTTTGGTGGGTTCATTAACAACTGTTTGTTTTAGCATCAACTCCTTTTTAAATCCTCTTCTTTATGCATTTAGAGACAGAAGGTTTCGAGTGACATTAAAGCATAGATTACACCGTCTTATTCATCCAAACACCACTTTTGTGCAACAAGTCAGCTATAGATCAGCGGCCGATACAAGATCTAATGCCGGGAACACTATAAAACTTAAATAGAAAAATAAATCCACGCAGATGATCGTGTTGATATTAAAGTGTAGACGTAACCTTTTTTTTTTTGTCGTAAAGGCGAAGACACATCTTCTTTGCCAACTCTTAGTCGATAATAAATCAAGTTTTAAACTTACCTGTTAAGCAGCGTTATATTTTATCTAGAAAATAAGAACTTTTCCCCATTTTTTTCTCTTTGTCTTTGCGAAGGGCATATGCGCAAAATGTCAACTCTTCATAAATCGCCAAGCATTGCTGTCAGAATCTCCATTTGCTTCTCACGGATAACGCTGTTTAACATTTTCTTCAGAAGCTAAAATCTGCATCAGTGTATAAGTTACGAGATTTCTTTTTTTCATTATCTTTAACTTTGTGCAATAATTACTTGCACAAAGTAATTACTTGCACAAAGTAATTACTTGCACAAAGTAACTACTTGCACAAAGTAACTACTTGCACAAAGTAACTACCATCAAGCTTTGTTGATTCGCTGCCTGGATATGATGGCAGCCATACCAAATCGGTAAATCACACCTGCCGGGCTCAGTTTTACTTTATCTCTAATCCCAGTGGAAGCCTTACCACGTATGTATTAATTGTTGAAACATGCCCTCAAGACAGCTGCTTGAGTTTTTCCTGTTCAGTTTCGATGGGGCGTTTTTTTTTTGATATCGCACCTGCTCAGCAAGACATTTACCGACACAAAACTTAGGCACAGCAAGAATGAGAATTGAGGAAAGTTAATTTAATTGTTCGAACACATTATGTAGATTGTTGGTGTCAACGGTCATGACAATGTTTATTAGATTAAGAAGGAAAATAGTTAAGAAAACTCAAATTACAATTTGCTTCCTGACATGAGAGTATAAACAGACTTGATGCTATGAACTTTGAATTTCAGCTTCAAGATATGTGCTCTTTGGGTGACGTTTAAGGTCCTTACGGCATGACGAAGACATAATTTTAGTATTGCACTCACGTGCCATTATGATAATGCGATATTAGACTACCTATTTTCCGCTTTATTAAACGGGAAAATAATTAAAATCAACTTTTTGGCTGATAACAAGAAATTGCACGTTGAAGTTGAAACCCATTGAGATATTTTAGGAAACATTGTGAGGTATCCGCAGCTTAAATATTGTACTAAATGAATCTGAACACAACTGTGAGAAATTCGCACTGTTTTAATCTTCCGGATCCAGTTTTTCAAACAGCTTTAGAGCGTTTTACGACGAATCTCATAACGACAGTCATCAATATCCTAGTTGCTCCAAATGCCATCATCGCGAATGTACTGATCCTTGTGGCAATCATTAACTGCAGTCATCTTCGATCTCCTTCCAATCTATTAATTGCCTCTTTAGCGCTGTCTGATGTTTTAGTCGGCTTAACAACCCAACCAGGATATATCAGCTACAGGCTCTTGGAAAACCAGCATCAAGGAGTTCCATGTTATGCGATGGTTCTCTACATTGTGGCTTTTTACATTTGTTTTGGAGTGTCTTGTATGACACTAACCGCAATCAGCTTTGAGCGATTTGTGGCAGTTCGATTCCCTGGCATATACACTACATTTTTCTCTCGAAAGCGTATCGTGGAATACGTTATCGGGATATGGACGGTGAACATTTTACTTAGTGCTCTGCAATGGGCTAAAATCAATCAAGAAGTAAGAGGTACTCAACTCATTCTATGCAGGATTTCTCTCTTTTTTTTGACGGCAACTCAGATTGGAATAACAATCACTGCGCGACGATATCGCAGACAACTTTAAGCATAACTTCAGGCTTCTCAGTATTAATCTAAAAAGACAAAGAGAAGCCAAATTAGCGAAGAAAATCTCTCTCGTCGCTGGAGTTTACTTGATTTTCAACTTTCCTGTTCTTCTTGTGACATTTTATCATCAGATACTGGGGTTGAAGTTAGAAACATACAATTTTGCTCAAACCCATTCATTTGTGTTTGGAAAATTCGACATATTCGTAAAAAAGTAAAAAATATTTTGATCAAAATATTAGGGACCAAGAGCGTAGGTTGATTTTTCCCGCGTGATTGACAGTTAACGTAATATATTTATGTTGAACATGGAAAATGGCGTGAAATAAAATTCCCTGTTAAAGGGTGAATTAAAAGTGTGAATGAAATCAGTTCAATATCTCATAGTCATGTTTAAGTGAACGAAGAAGACCGCTTTTCTTTTAAGTAAAAACATGTTAGAAAATTAAAAGTTATTACTTTATAGACTTTTAATTTATAGGGTCTGTGACTTAATCGAAATTGGTCTTTTTCTACTTTCTGTTGAATTGAAGCGTCTTCCTTTTTCGTGAAACGATAATAATATGACATCATGACCAGTATATCGTAATCAAAATTTTAATGAATTAAAAACTTTCTCTTTTCACAGAATCCTTGTGATATTTCATAACGGACCTGATCTTGCTGTAACGGTTCATAATCGGTTATCAAGATATTTCTTGAAAATGTCCAGTGAATTTGTTCTCTTTTTAGCACGTATTTTCTGTTAGTAAAAATTTTTCTTATAAACCAAAACATCAAAGCAGGAAGCGCTACTGAGGAGGGTATCATCACGTATGTGTTTTAAAACTTATCGAATGGCGTGCACAACTTTCCATTCAATTTTTCCATAATCAGAATGCTTCTGAATCCTTCGCCTTCGATGGTTTTAAGCAATTGAGTTATCTAACCTTATTTAAGAAGTTACCCAATATTTGTTCTTTACACAAAGATAAAGACTCTTCTAGATTAATTCGAAAATTTTCGCAATATGCATAAAATTGACTTTCGTGGATGCAAAATCACCGCCATGTTTTTCCTCCATATACCTTATAACTTGCTAACTATATAGAGCTTGTTTTATGCTCAATATCCCAAGTTTCTCCTCTTAGAGATTTTTTTAGATGGCCTTTACCCGCAGGATTGAGTGACTGTGAGATCAAAATTATTAACTTCTTTCTCCAAACATGTAGAGACTTTGCATTTTCTGCACCGTACGTGGTTATATCAGGAGTCGCTATAATTATAATACGCTCTATCGCACTCAACAAAGTTTCCTCAAGATATGGTTGCTGTTTGTTTTGACTCTTTCCCGTTTTATTGACTCAATTGGAAATAAAGAGTTTAACAAAAAGCTCGAGTAACGATGTGGTTAACTTTCATATTCATTACTATCTTAGAGAGTGACTGATGTCTTGTGGAAACCATACACCATAGAGTCAGCGTGGCTCTAAAATAACAAATAAAATAATGCCTCAATCGAGGCAGATCTAACTCCATGGACAACAAAGTTTTTGTCTGATTGTCAGCTTCAATGCTTGTCTCACTTCATTAATCTTCGAGCAGTAAAGAAACGGGTTTAACGTCGAATTGAAGTAAACTAAAGTTGCTGCTATTTCTCTGATGAGGCGTAAATGTGATGAAAACGTTCTCTTATTAGCTTTCGCAAACACGATTACAACTATGGTATGCGGTATATAACAAACAACTAATGCTAACTGTATCGCGAAATGTTCAGTGAATTTGGTTGACTCGACTGTAATTGAACATGAACTTGTACTTGTGCCTGATGATGAATGAGGGTGCCAAATATCTTTGTGAACGAGACCATTGAGATCAGTAAACAAGATGAATTACAGATATACCCACATCATAGGGTTATGTGGTAATCTAAAATGTAGCATAATGCAGCAACACTAGATAAAACCCAACTGGCAGCTAAAATAATATTTGTGCGCTTCAAAGTGATAGTTTGTTTGTATCTCAGCCCCAACAACAAGGCGAGAAGTCCGTCAACAGTTATGGCCGTCGTCCACGTCGTTTGTCCCCAAAGATACTCCACATAATGAATAACTCGTTATGGAGGCGGCATCCCTTGTGTATCGACAAAGATTCCAGTGTTCGTTAGCTATGGATATCCAATAAATGGCATAGAGGGGCTGGCTAACGAGACCAACCAAAAGATCAGTTGTTGCCAAACAACGATACAAAAGTTTGGATGGCGGATGGAGGGAAAATTGTTTACGAAGGGCAACAAGGATTAGAAAATTTTACCAAAAAGTTACCAAGAATTGCAGTGAGAGAAAGGATTACATTTACCACTGCGAGATAAATTGATTGCCGTTGTAATCCCACTGCCAAAGAGGGGGAAGATAACAGTTCTTTATGTGATTCCATTTGTACTTCACCTCATGTTAAATTATTTCTTGCCATCATACTTCTGTGTTCCTTTTTTCTTTAGGGTTACCTGTGATTTCAACGAGAGATAATCCATCGTAACAGCAGACGCCCAGAAATAATCACATAAAACTTCTTGTGGAGACCGTGCTTTAAACTATGCTTAAACATCTGCTGTTAAGTCAAAAAGTTTTCTTTTGTATGTGCCTCGGGTGTAAATTGGCAAAATGAGAAAAGCATAAGGCATTTGTAACAGGCATTTTTTCAGAGCAAGACAAGTTATTCCCCGTAACTCGGATAAACTTTCACTACCAGGATTGGTTTTTATGCTTTAACATAATTTTCTCTGAATCTGAGAAGAATCGTTGTCAACTGTATCAATTTTAAAAGAAAAATAAGCCTTTGAACTCTGTGATCCTCCTCTTTTCCTGTTAAAAATTAAATAAAGTCTTATGGTTGGTGTCCTGCGTACGGCAGGTGATTAGATTCTTCTTGTCGCGATTCATTTGAGCGATCGAGGATCCTTTTTGATAGGGACAGTTATATTCCAATACTTAGGCATGAAAAAAGCAAGTTATAAAACCGCGGTCAGAAATGAACCGATGGATGGTTAACAACTATTTTAACTCGTTAAACAACTTATTACACTTCAACTTCTTCAACATCATTTGGATAGAGACTTTCATTTACCTTTTATAGACGCTCACTCGAAAGGTCCTCGCGTAACAAATACTGCAATTTGTTTTTGGCAGGAAATCTAGGTTGTGCCTTGCATTTAAAACGTTAAATAAATTGAAACAACTGTTTTGTTATTTCAAGATGAAAGGAAGTCTGTGATAAATATTAGTGTGCGACACAACTACGTATTTGTGTAATTGGTGAAG